GCTATAGCCTTTTTTAACTAATACTGCTATGCAACAAGGTCACCCAGTACAGTGATTAATTTTTGCAAATATATACAGGTGAAAGTGTAGTTTTTCACTTAACTACACAGCAGAAGACAAATGGTTCGAGATAGTGATAATATATAGAATAACTTTATTTCATACAAGAACACAGTAATAACCTTGCCTGTAGGAATTACCCTAGAGGAGGAATATCACATTTACAAGATAAGAAGGGTATAAAGAAAACAAAGTTTAAGTAAAGTATAGAAAACTTATGAGTTGGCAGGAAGAAGAAAAGGCATCCTTTATATATCTTTTTACCCAAAGAAAAGATATACAATGCACAGTAAAGGGTAACACTTGGCAGGTGAAGAAGGCAAACTGGTATAGATGAAATAGGTGATTGTGTTGGATGAAATAGATGAAATATAAATATTACTCATTATATTTATATTTATTTATAGCTTGTGAGAGTGAATTAGAGAACTTGCTATACAATATTTTGTGTTTGAAATATTTAGGATTTGTACAGATAAATTAGAGGTTCGTATAGATGAATTAGGTGTTCGTGCAGGTGAAGAAGGTGAATTTGTATTACTTTCTTGTATAACTTGTTTGTGTAATCCAAAGCATTTCTTTATATAACCTTGTATCATCTCAGGTTATATGGGTCACATAACTATACCACAGTTCTAACAGCTAATTAAATTATTTCTATATAATTGCTATATAATATACTATCTAAATATATATAAAACTAATATATAATAATATAATAAATCTAACTAATATTTTAACTATATAAAAATACAAATATTTAAGATAATAATAACTAAAAATAACTAAGATAATATTAATAAAATCTACTCTAAAAAATCTACTTTGTAATACTACAAAAAATACATAAAGGCTATTAAAAAACTTAACTCGAAGCTCTAAATAAAAAAGAAGAGAACTACAAAAAATACTTAGTTTTTTAGAAAACTTAAGTAAGAAGAGTCAAAATAACAAAGAAATAGAAGAAGTTATAAAAAATCATCAGTTTTTTTTTGCATTTTGAAAAATTTTTGAGAATTAGCTTTGATTTTAAATCACAGATCTGTTTTAGTGATACAAAAAATACAACATGTAATAAAGAATAAACAAAGAAAATATATCAAAACTATGTAATGAAAATAAACAACAGTACTAAATAATCACAACAAACAACAACAATAATCAACAACAACTGAAAAACAACAAATCATATGAAGCAAACCAATAACAACAAAAAAACAACAAATCATGTAGAATACTTGGTAATAATTAATAGAAGAGAGCTTAAAAACAAGAATTAGCCAATTTACAACCAAGAAACTATAAAGAAAGTCAAGTTTTTTTAACAAGAATTAGCACAACTATCTAATATAGAAAGAGCAAATATTATAGAACAAATATCAAAAAAATTAGCAAAAAGTACAATGCTCATTATAGTAGAAAAGGTAAAGACACAGATAGAAGCTTTATATGAAGAATTACATCAATATAGAAAAAATGAAATTCAGTACTCAGACCTTGCATTTAGAAAGAAAAACTTTTGATACTATCATGAAGCAAGTCTAGAAAGTATAAACATAGCTATCTATATCATAATCGAGAAAATAAATGAGATTATATGTAAATTAAATACAGCTAAATAGCTAAAAGAGATAATAAATATTAGAGCAAAGCAAGCTACTAAAATAAAGTCGAAATTAGAAACAAGTTGGAGCAAGAGACTTTAAGAACAAAGAAAGAGTAGATAACAGTAGTATAATAGAAACGTATTAAAGAATCTAATACTGCAATTCAAAGAATCTGTTAAATCTACTACAGTAAATCTACATTTGATGAAAAAACAACAAATCATATGAAGCAAACCAATAACAACAAAAAAACAACAAATCATGTAGAATACTTGGTAATAATTAATAGAAGAGAGCTTAAAAACAAGAATTAGCCAATTTACAACCAAGAAACTATAAAGAAAGTCAAGTTTTTTTAACAAGAATTAGCACAACTATCTAATATAGAAAGAGCAAATATTATAGAACAAATATCAAAAAAATTAGCAAAAAGTACAATGCTCATTATAGTAGAAAAGGTAAAGACACAGATAGAAGCTTTATATGAAGAATTACATCAATATAGAAAAAATGAAATTCAGTACTCAGACCTTGCATTTAGAAAGAAAAACTTTTGATACTATCATGAAGCAAGTCTAGAAAGTATAAACATAGCTATCTATATCATAATCGAGAAAATAAATGAGATTATATGTAAATTAAATACAGCTAAATAGCTAAAAGAGATAATAAATATTAGAGCAAAGCAAGCTACTAAAATAAAGTCGAAATTAGAAACAAGTTGGAGCAAGAGACTTTAAGAACAAAGAAAGAGTAGATAACAGTAGTATAATAGAAACGTATTAAAGAATCTAATACTGCAATTCAAAGAATCTGTTAAATCTACTACAGTAAATCTACATTTGATGAAAAAAAAGCCAAAAAAGAAAAAGAAAAGATGTAAGCCTAGCGAAAAAAAACAAATAGCAAAATTAAAATTAAAGCTAAAGTTAAAAGCCTGTTAAAATGAAAAACAAGCTGCTGAATTAAGGTTAAAGTTGAATTCAGATTGGAACAAGAGACTCTAAGAACAAAAAAAACTTGATAAAGGCAGAACAACAAAATAGTATTAAAGACTTTAGTAGTATATTTTAAAGTATCTGTCACTTTTACTGCAGCAAGCTTGAAAAAAAGAAAAAATAAAATTAGGAAGAAAAAAAAAAAAACAAGAAACAAGACATTCCAGGTCTTATAGAAGCAAGGGTGTTAAACAAGATTCAAGAAGAAACAAAACCAAAAATCATACCAACAACCTCAACAGATTGGGTAATAGAAGTAATATACCAAACAAGTATTAAAACTTATAGCCTAATAATAAAATATAGAAAAAGAAGAAAAAAGAACTGCTGGTAGAATAGATACATGATATAAGATCCTAATGGAATTTCAACATAAATCTGTTGCAAGACATGCCAGTAGCTAAAACAAAAAGAGCCAAGAATTAAAAAAAGAAAAAAGAATGTTTTATTAGAGATAATAGAAAAAAATTTTGTAAAAGATCTTAGAAACAAAGAAATCTTTAGCGAAATATAGAAAAAGTTCTTAGATAAAAATTAAATTCTAGGAAGAAAAAAAAGAAGAAGATAATAAAAAGAAAGAAAAAAGAAAATCATTTCACCTAAGATACAAAGGAGAAGAAAATTGACCAGAAGAATCAAGACTTAGAAAAGAAAGAAACAAAAAAAACCCAAGACAATTAAAAGAAAAGAGAACCTCTAGAAGAATTTTTCTAGAAAAGATTTATAAAATGAGCTTCGGTGAGAAAAAAAAGGAATTTGAAGCTACGAATCAAGAAGGAAAGATTAAAGGAAAGTATATAAATAAATTTCTAAGAAACAAGTTTCCAATTGATAAAGATAAAGTAAATTAAAAGAGAAAGAAGAGGAAAAGAAAACACAAATATAATCAAAAAAATTCTGGTAAAAACTCTTGTTTGAAAAAAAAAATAAAATTGTTTATTGTAAGAAAACTAGAGTTAGAGTACTGTTTTAAAAGAAGAATAGTTTAGAAAAAGAAGTCTGCTATTTAAATATAGCTAAAAATTCTTTTGTTTTGAAACTATATTGTTATAATTTTGCAGGCTAGCTTGGTATAGCTCTCTGGTGCAGGCAATAGCCTTATCCGATAAGACAGACCATACTTGGATATCCACAAGGAAAGTCAAGTGATATTGAATCTATAACTTAAATAGCTTAAGATATACTTATATATTAGCTTTGATCTAGTAAAATACTGACGAGGCTGCCAATATATTAAAAAAAAAAAATTAACAATATGATAAATTTTTATTTTAGTTTAGTAATAGGAATATTTATCTTTAATAAAATTTTAGTAATTTTAAAAAAACATGTTAAAAAAAGTTTAAGCTAATAAATTTGCTAGCTAGATAGTTTAAAGAATAGTATAAATAAATAAATAAATAAATTAGTTTATTATAATTATGTATAAATAATGTTTTTACTAGGGGTTATTAGTATTCACCTAATATTTTATTACGTATTTATTATTAGATATCATTACACGAATCAGTTACACTAATGATCAGGTTAGTGATGAATAATGATAAATAAATAAATAAGAGTTCGATCATGATAATGATCGAACCTTTTCTACTTTTGTTAGTACAAATAAACAAATACCAAAAAAGGTGGGTGCGAGAAGCAATAAAAACTTTAATCAAAATATAATAGCATTCTCTGCTGTTTTTATTAACAAGGAATGTTCTTTATTTAGATTCTACGAGTTTTTTCTTTACGTACATATTTTTATTCAAATTTCCGATATTGTGAAAAAATGACACGAAAAATGTAAGGCGATTATAAAGAAGGCTAGATTTGTAAAGAGAAGATAGACAGGTATAAGTAGACTTTGTTAAATATATTTTAGCATATCTGTTAGAATTTTTATTATGTATTTTATCACTTGTTTTTTTTTTAGATTTACGCGTTTTTTCTTTACATACTTTAGCCGTTACTACAGTATTGGTTTAATTGTGAAAAAAAGACTGAAATAGTGTAAGTTCAAATGACTCTTTGGCTAAATACGTAGTATCATACTTCTCAAATTTTTAATTGCTCTTTTGTCATATTTGTTTTAGGTTTCGCGCTTTTCTTCTGTTTGATGAATGCTTATAGATTACAAAATATCATCTTGCACTAAGAACGATACTGCCCTTGCTATACTCTCTGTTGAGTGTATGACTGATAAACTACCTGTACTGGAAAATGTTAATAATAAAGCTGATATATATGAAAGTTGTGATTCAAAAAATAAGGCTGATACTTTGACTGTAAATAAAAATATTGAGGTATCTAAAGGTG